CCCCCCCCCCCCCCTCACTTTTGCTTGATAGAATTTTAAAGTAATGCAACTCGCTCTATAGTCACTGCCAACGAAACCGGCCGTAGAAAAATCGGCCAGAAGCCCACGACACTGCCCCGGGCGGGCTCTCTTACTAACCATTTATAGTTAGTCCGAGATAGAGAGAGAGAGAGAGAGAGAGAGAGAGAGAGAGAGAGAGAGAGAGAGAGAGAGAGAGAGTAAGGGGGGAGGGGAGAGAGAATGAGAGAGAGAGAGAATGAGGGGGGAGAGAGAATGAGAGAGAGAGAGAGAGAGGGAGAGAGAGGGGGAAGAGAGAGAAATAGAGGGAGAGAGGGACTATGTGGGTGCGAGCGGGGGTGGGAGGGGAGGCACAGAGAGAGGTGTGTAGTAATACACAGAAAGAAAGTGCAACAAGATAGGAGTTAGAAAGGAAGAGAGTGTGTGATAGATAGAAAGAGAGAGAGAGAGAGAGATATATAGAAAAAAAGAGAAAGAAAGAGAGAGAAAGAGAGAGAGCATGTGGGGGGTTGGTATTGGGATTCAGGAGGAGAGATGGGTGGGGTGGTTATGGGGGGTTCCCATGACACCCACATCTTTTCATACTTCTTTTAAAAAGTTCTATAGGCCCTATACGCTTTGATTCGGTCAATAAGAAATAAACCACCTCGTAGATAAAATGCTGATGAAGAAATAAAGGTTGTTTTTTTTTCTTCTTTTTTTAAAGCCCATATCTCTATCTCTATCTATTTAATAATACATTTATTTGTAGATCTAGTTGTAGAAAGAACGCCGAATTATTGCAATTTAGTCATTTAGATACCGTACGCCACGGCGCCCATGTACAAAAAAAAAATAAACAAGAACCAAGTCTCGCCTGACGCGTATGAGAGAGATGAGAGAGAGAGAAAACATGCCTAGCCCATTGCTTTAGCATGAACTCCTTCACACAACTTGCCACAAATATCATGGCGGACGCCGCTGTCAAATGTGGCCATCGCGCAGCAAGGCGGGAGAGGGGCGTATTATATCTAGTACTATAGTGTACATCTATGGTCTCACATACAATACCTCACACATGCGGATGTTTGGTGTGAACGAGCCGTAAGTTAGGCCTTTTTTTTTAGGCCGTAAGGCTTGCTGGTTAAGGGGCAGGTTGGAAATGGTTTGAAAATTCATTGTGTATTGGGATGTAGAAGGGGCCAGGGTGCTTTCGTGGTACTGAGGTTATGGTGTTACGAATTCGAAACCTGGCAGCAAAGCAAACTTCTCCAAAATGTTCTCCTTTCACATTTTTTTCCTGCTCTCTAACCATGTTCTGTCGTCTGCTTTCGTCTCCACTTTCCGTGAATGTGTGAACGTATATATTATATACACACATGTATATATACCAAAAAGGAAGTAAATTGTGACTTTGAAAATATGAATTTAAAACTCACTCTTCCCTTTTGATTCAAACACCCTTGTTGGTATAGTAAAAGTACAAACGAAACTTTGACAATTATAATGATTGTTGTGGGTTTTATGTAAATGCAGACATATGTAAATGGCATCAAAGTAAATACAAAACTGAAAAACAAGAAAATCGCATGGACGAAATATTTTTTAAATCTGTTTTAATGCACACTGCCACATAATAAAACCGTTCATATAAGACTATAAAATACATATTTTAAACAGACTCATTAAAAACACACGCACACACACACACACACACACACACACACACACACACACACACACACACACACACATATACACACACACACAGACACACTAACACACACACTCACATACACATTCATACACACACACATGTACACACGCGCGCGCACACGCTCATACAAAACACGCACACACACACACACACACACACACACACACACACACACACTCGCGCACGTACACGCACGCACGTATATACAAACACAAACAAACGCCTATGCACGCACACGCACACACAGACACACACACACACACACACACACACACACACACACACATACACACACGCACATCACGCATACGCACTCACACAAATTAAAGAAACACACACACACACACACACACACAAACACACACAAACACACACACGCACATCCATAATGATAATATATCCGCACATAAATACATTTTTGAGTTGTTGCTTTTGAGCGGATTTAACGTGCTAAAGATAAGCACTTCAAGTATCAACATAGTACCGAAACAGACAGACAGACAGACAGACATACAGACAGACAGACAGACATACAGACAGACAGACAGACAGACAGACAGACAGACAGACAGACAGACAGACAGACAGACAGATAGACAGATAACTAGATAGATAGATAGATAGATAGATAGATTGATAATAAATAGTATTTATACTGCGCATTTCCATTTTCTAAAAAATGCCCAATGCGCATTATAACGAAAAAGACATCACATCTAAAAAAAAGTAATCGACCTGCGTGTACGTAAAACAAATCATTATACAAATAATATAAATGTATAATATGTGTTACAATTTATATGAGAAAAACAGTCTCGCATTTAGGTTGAAAATGTGTTCACTAAAAATATACAATGCAATAAAAATTCACGAACGGTCACAATAAAGTTGAAACGTGAATAACTAGAAACATTCATCAAAACATTCATTCTCTACAGACAGAAAAACATTTCCGTACTTCTCTCTCTCTCTCTCTCTCTCTCTCTCTCTCTCTCTCTCTCTCTCTCTCTTTCTCTCTCTCTCTCTCTCTCTCTCTCCCTCTCTCTCTCTCTCTCTCTGTGTCTCTCTCTTTCTCTCTCTCATTCTCACACGATAGATAGATTTATAGATAGATAGATAGATAGATAGATGGCCTAGTGGTTAGGCTCTCGGACTCGCAACCGTAAGGTCGTGGGTTCGAATCCCGTCAGGGGCCCGACGTTGTGTCCTTGAGAAAGGCACTTTACACTTATTTTCCTCACTTCACCCAGGTGGGAATGGGTACCCGGCTATAGACAGCGAAAGATCTTGTCAGTTTGTTAGTGTTTGAGCGCTTAATCGGCTGCTCGCACTGTATGCTTCCCGGGAAGCTGAGAATGTTTCGGAGTGTTCTATGGTCTGCTGGGGTAATAATATAGTGTAAAGCGCATAGAGCCTGCTGTTTA